GCTCAAGAAGACCTTGTGCTGTAGTGGGTTAGTGCTAATAATGTCCAGTCGCAGTGGGAAACTAATGGGATTAAAGGCTAACAAATCATGGATGCATTGGTTATAAATTTCCAAAACTATCTAGAAGCTGAAATGTTCCCAGCAGATTAAAAAATCACAAGTGTCACCTGTTATGATCCCAGTCCAGACTGCCAAAATTATATTATAATCTAGCTAGGAACTTAAAACATTTTTTTTTTCAGTTAACCATGTGTGACATTCAAGGCATTTACTAAGAATGTAAAGACACAAGATTCCAAAGTTTTGAATAAACAACAATAAACTTTTCTGTACAAAATGAGAACAATACAATTGCAATCTACACACAACATATTCCCAACATCCAAAATTAACCTGAAGTAAATTTGAATAACAAACTGTGAGCATGCCACAGAGCTCATTAAATAGTGACTGCAGTCAGGAAAGATTCAGCTATCTCCCAGAAACTAGTGACACTGTGGGTTATCAAATCTCATTAAACTCTACAAGATATTCCAACTTGTTCTTTTTTGAAGACTTAACTTCAGAAGTCCCTCAAAAACTGACTGCCTCAACGTGGGCTCACAGTCTGGTGGTTCACCATCCAAACAGGATTGCACATGCCTGGATTCTGGAAACTTTTTCTGACCTCTAATCCTGCTCAGATGTACAAAGCAAATACTTGCTGTGGGGTTCCTTTTTCTTTGTTCTCATATGCTGAGCTGTTAATGGAGCATGGCTTCTTCTGAGCCATAGCCATAACTGTTGGCTGTACCTCCTAGCTTCCTGGACTTCATGAATGCTAATTACTCAGGGCCTGGTATAGCAGAATCTTCTCAGGATGGTTCCTTTTCTCTTTATTCCTAAATACCTGACAGGCAAATAGCCAATGGTAACAAATTTCTCCTCTGGCTGCTTCCATGCAACTGACTGAACTGACCATTCAGTAAGCTTTGAACTGTTCTGAGTGGCCTATTGAAAACCTTGCAACAAACCCCATCCATGTTTTAAGGCAGGATTGAATGTAACTATGTTTCAAACAGCCAAATGTAGCAATCTTCTGGAACTGCATATTCCCCAGATGTTACAATACTGACAGATTGCTGGTTTGCACAGTATAAAACTGATTCAAAAGAGGATTTTGTGACAAACCCAAGAAAGAAGCGTAAGCAGAAAACTATGGGCCAGTGTGTCCAACACCTGTCATTGGCAAAATCCTGGAATCCATTTTTAAGGAAATAGAAGCAAAGCATTTTGAGAATTGTAATAAAATCAGACAGAATCAACACGGTGTTATAAAAGTTCTAAAGAAGGGTCCCGACCCAAATCATCAACTTTCCTGCTCCTCTGATGCTACCTGGCCTGCTGTGTTCCTCCAGCTCCATGCTGTGTTATCTCTGACTCCAGTATCTGCAATCCTTGCTATTTCTTTATAAAAGGGAAATTGTAGTAAACAAATATATTGAGGATGTAACAAACAGAATGAATAAATCATTCCGGTAGGAGGAGTGCATTGGATTTCCAAAAGATATTCAATGAGCGGCCACATAAAAGCACAAGGTGAGAGCTTTATGGTTTTGGGGATGTCATATTAGCAAGGATGACAATTGGCTATTTAACAGGAAACAGAGAGTCAGGATAAAATAGGCCATTTTCTGGTTGTCAGAGTGTAAATGGAAAGTACAGGAATCACTGCTGGGGCCTCAGTTATTTACAATCTATATTCATGATTGGACAAATAGACTGAGTGAATTGTAGCCAAATTTGATGATTATCTGAAGAAAGAAACTTATGGGAGGATAGAAATCTAGAAAAAGGAAATAGGTTAGGCCAGTGAGACAAAAGTTGCAGATGGTGTATATTTTGGAAAATATGAGATTGACTACGTTGGTAAGAAGAGTAGAAAAGCAGAATGTCCAACCTACTTTAGGAGTGCAGCCATTGAAAAGTGCTGGTTTCAATCTCCATGACGATAATTTCCAGGCAGCATGGATATTATGTGCTACCTGAGTCTCTTGCAACACATTCATAACACACCCACTAGCTTCTGAGCATACAATTTCTAGACCATGGTACTTGTAGACATCACAATATTCAGCCATGCAAACACTTTCATTTATTTATGGTTGAGTGAAGGTAACTCATGCAAATGAAATAATCTTATAAAATCAATAGGGAACTTGCACTCTTTCGGGGAGCTTCTCATGGCTCCCCATGGTCACACGCCACAATTGGTAGCTGTCTTTCTCCTATGAAAGCTCAACGCATAGCTACCGATGCACAAAAAGTATATCTTAACTCCTCACCATTGTATCAACCAAAATATATTTGCATTACAACAGTTCTACTTCTTAATTCTGTAATTCATAATCTATTCATTTCACATTTCAGGATTTATAACCGCAAACTGGGAGGGATTTTTATTTTAGACTATCATACATAAACTATATTATGTTTTTAAAGTAAAAATGCATTCAGGATTCTAAGGACTGATTTCCAGTGGAAATTGTCAGAGCAAATCACAGAATCATAGAATCCCTACAGTGTGGAAGCAGGGCATTCGACCCATCAAGTCCACACCAACCTTCTGGAAAGCATCCTACCCACCACCCCCACCTCCAACCCTACCCCTGTAACCCTGCATTTCCCATGGCTAATCCAACTAGTCTGCACATCCCTGGACACTACGGGCAATTTCAGCATGGCCGAACCATGTAACCTGCACACCTTTGGACGAAAGGGGCAGAGAAATTGAAGGAACAATGCAGTGTTAGGAATGTAAATGGACTTTCTCAAAACGAAAAACCAAAAGGACTGTGGATGCTGTAAATCAGGAACAAAAACAGAAGTTGCTGGAAAAGCTCAGCAGGTCTGGCATCTGTGAAGAAAAAATCAGAGTTAATATTTCAGGCCCGGTGACCTTTCCTCACAACTGACTTTTTTCTTCACAGATGCTGCTAGACCTGCTGAGCTTTTCCAGCAACTTCTGTTTTTGTTTCCCCAAAAGGAGATGGATCAATCATTCAGGTTGTTACCTATATATATTTAGGTCAAAGGGGAACCTTTAACAAATCTAATAGCTCCAATTAAGATTTACATATTGCATTGACTATCTTACTGTGAACCCAGCATGTGTTTACTGCAGCCTGTTTGAAGCTCATGGGTTAATGGCAACACAGAAAAATGAGAAATGGTCAGAGGTTAATCTGTTAGTTTCTTCTATAACAAGTGAAAGAGAAAAACATGCTCTGCAGATGGAGTCAGAGAAATGGTAAGGATGTCAATCAAAGAGGGAGAACACTAGATTTAGGGAGAATGCTATTCTGAAAAGCATATTTAGTTGACAAATAGAGATAGCATAATTTACTTTGTGGAGGTCCTGTGGTGCAGTGGGTAGTGTTTCTGCCCGTAAGCCAGAAGCTGGCCAGAGGCAGCACAAAATGACAGCCCATGGAGTTGGCATAAAAATGGTGAAGATTTTTAGCGGTAGTGATAGAAATAGCTTGTTTTTTTCAACGTTAGGTTGAGATCATAATTTAGGACAATGGTAGCTTTGAGAACAAGATAATCCAAGGTGACAAGTTCCAGGTGGAACAAAGAATCTTACAAATTAAAATACAAGAAGTTTTGTACAAACCCAGAACTGTGGATGTTTGTAATAGACACTCTGATACGAAAATATCTGGGAACAGACAGCCTAAGGTTTGTAGTTTAGCAAGAATTAAAAGAAAAGTATGATCCAACAATAATAAAGACTCTTCAGGTAACTGAGTTGAGAAATCTAAAAAATGCAATCTATACGTAACTTTAAGAAAGTTGGCTGAATTCCATTAAACAAACGGCTACAGAGAGGGGAGAGAGGTCCCTATCCCGTCAGTGAGGGGAATTGATTTACAAATGGGGAAAATAGATAACCCCTAAAGGGCACAAGCTTGACTTCGAGAAAATAAATAATGGCAGCTTCACCACCTAAATAAGCAAATGTGAATAATAATGTTGGATTTGTGCATCCAAGGATCAAGGGAGGAAGGACAGAGACAAATGATAAGGTAAAAGGGGAACGAGAATATATTTTGTAAAATCTTAGGAGTTCAGGCAAGCTTCTTGAGCTGTCAAAGTGATTGAGTTTACAGAATTTGAATAGATGTCTAATTAAGTAAAAGAGTTAGTGTAGAAATATTTAGAGTTGCAACAGTAAATTTCATCTTTGAAGCAATCTCCTGTTTAAAACACACTTACAGACAGCATTTAAATAGAAAGAGTTATAGTTGCAGCTACAAGATAAAGGGGCAATGTTTACCAGACGTTCCAAGGTCAGATGGGACAGAAGCTGGCAAAAGAATTCTAACATTAGGTGTAACCATATAACTTTATGTATAACTACCCTTATATTCGAACTGATATTGTGAATTTTATCACAATTAGTAGGAATTAGCATCTTTTTGTGTCTCCTGTGATTAGGATAGTAAATATAAGTTGAGTAACAGAATTTGATAAAAATAGCAATGAATAACAGAATTTAAACAATCCTTAGAAATAAAAAAACTCTGGCAAGTGTCTGAGAAAGAGTATAGCTGTTAACATTGGGATGTAAATGAATGGAGTACTTTGTAAAATAGCAAGGCCTGATAATACCGATATCTTGTAATCATCATGTGATTATGGGGAACTGAGGGCTGTCCATAGCGATGTCCATCATTGATTGCGTGTTATTGGATGTATAGATTGGCGGGACATAGCTAACAATGACATCAATGTTGCATGTAATTATTGTAACGCGAAATGTATAAAGATATTGTATTTGACTGGGCGAGCACAGTGTTTGGTGGACACTGTTTCAGGAATGTCTCCCATGTTGCATGGTAAGAGAGCTCTGAATAAAGATTGATTGTGCTGCTAAACACAGAACTCAAGGCTCCTCTTTGATATCCCTCCCCAACAAATGTCATGCCCTTCAGGCTCTTTTTCTGATGACTACTGACCTGTTCCATCAAAAATTAGTTTTGGAGATAGATATAAGCACATTCATTGTCTGCTTCATGCTTTCCTAGGTGCAAGAAGGAGAGGAGAGTGTTTTGTTATTTTCTAAAGAACACACAAAGTAAGTAGAAATATACTGCATCACTAATCTGTTCTTCCCCACAGTATAAAAACGAATTATCTCATAAATAAGACTTGTTTCTCTAAAGTGTTCGTCTTTCAAAATCATAGGCAACTGTGAAGTCTAGGTACCTGGGCTGTCCTTCTGACTGCTTGAGAGTCTCTAGGTCCAGCCATGGCAAATTCTTCCAGCCAACTCTAACACATGGGGCCTCTTGTGGTGCAGGGATAGAATCCCTATCCCTGGATTAGAAGGCCAGGGTGCAAGTCCCACCTGCTTCAAATCTGTACAATAACATCTCTGAACAGGTCAATTAGGAAAATGGGTTAAATAATAACTTTAAACGTGGCATGTAGTTTTCAATAAGGATTGACCTAGACTCCCTGTCCCCAAAAAAACTAGATTACCTATGCTTATTATCAGGCAGTAATGATACTAGTCTACATGCTACATGGCCTCTGACCAGCCAGCTCAAAGCCAGATCTTCTGAATCTCCTGTTTATATCTGTCAGCCAGGGCTCCCTAATTGATGCAGGTTAACAACCCCAATCAAGGGTCTCATACTCAATGAGATCCACCCGGTCATGATTCCAATCACTACACTAAGACTTACTCACACCTGACCCACTTATCCCACACACCATGCATTCCCCACCACACCCCACTCAGCACATTGCTCACCCATAGTTCTGTAGAGTGGTGTAAAAGTTTGAATAATTAAGAATGGTTATTTGACAAAATCTAGAACAGAACTTCGACAGGCAATTCAAATTATCGGTGTATTAACAGAATTACCGACTATTAGACTGAGTGTCTGAGACTGTTCCAAACCAGTGATACTAAGTTAGGATTAACTTCAGATAGTTTACAGGATAACAACATTAGATAATCAATCTTTTGTATAGCTTAGAGACTATAGGATGGTCGTTGTTAATGTTTTCAGATAGAGTCACAGGGTCACAGAGTCAAACAGCAAGGAAACAGTCCCTTTGGTCCAACTCATGCATGCGACCAGACATCTCAATCTGACCTAGGCATTTGGCCCATATCCCTTTAAACACTTACTATTCATATTCCATCCAGGTGACTGTTAAATATAATTGTATTCCACCAACACTTCCCCTGACAGCTCATTCCACACACACTTCTGCGTGATAATGTTACCCCTCAGGTCCTTTTTAGTCTCTCCCTTCTCACCTTTAATCTATGCCGTCTAGTTTTGGCCTCCCCCACCCTAGGAAAAAAAGCCTTGGCTATTCCCCCTATCCACGCCCCTCATGATTTTATAAACCCTCTATAAGGCCACTCCTCAGCCCCTGCCAATTCAACTTCTCCCTATAGCTCAATCCCTCCAGTCCAGGCAACAATGTAAAAGTTTTCTGCACCCTCTCAAGTTTAACAACATCTTTCCTATAGAAGGAAAACCACAATTATACACACCATTCTAAAAATGGCTTCACCAATGTCCTGTACAGCTGCAACATGACATCCCAACTCCCATACTCAATGTTCTGACCAATGAAGGCAAACGTGCCAAATGCCTTCTTCATCATCCTATCAACCTACGACTCTACTTTCAGGGAATTAGGCACCTGTGCCCCTAGGTCTCTTTGTTCGGCAGCACTCCCCAGGGTCCTATCATTAACTGTATTAGTCCTGTCCTGGTTTGCCTTACCAAAATGCAAATGCTCACATTAATCTAAATTAAACTCCATCTGCCACTCCTTGGCCCATTGGCCCATCTGATCAAGGTGCTGTTGTACTCTTAGATAACCTTCTTCACTGTCCGCTACACCACCTATTTTGGCATCATCTGTAAACTTACTAACCAAACCTCCTATGTTCACATCCAGATCATTGATATAAATGATGAAAAGCAGTGGACCCAACATTGATCCTTGAGGCACACTGTCAGTCACAGGCTTCCAGTCCAAATAGCAACCCTCCACCACCACCCTCTGTCTCCTACCTTCAAGCCAATTTTGCAAGCAATTGGTGGGCGTTCCAGATCCCATTTCATCTAACCTTACTAACTATTCTACCTTACGGAACCTTGTTGAATGCTTTGCTGAAATCCAAATAGACAATATCTAGTGCTCTGCCTTGATCAATCTTCTTTGTCACCTCTTCAATCAAGTTAGTGAAACACGATTTACCACTCTCAAAGCAATGTTGACTATCCCTAATCAGTCCTTGCCCTTCCAAATACATGTAAATCCTATCCCTCAGAATACCTTCCAAAAATATGCCCACCACTGAAATAAGACTCACTGGTATATAGTTCTCTGGCTTTTCCTTACAGCCTTTCTTAAATAATGGCAACACATGTGCCAACCTCTATTCTTCTGGCATCTCAAATGTCGCAGCAAGGGGCCCAGCAATCTCTTCCCTAGCTTCCCACAAAGTTCTGGAAAACACTTGATCAGGTCCCAGGGATTTATCTACCTTTCTGCATTTTCAGATTTCTAGCACCTCCTATTCTGTAATGTGAACTATTTTTAAAATGTCACTATTTATTTCCCCAAGTTCCCTAGCTTCCATGTCTTTCTCTTCAGTAAATATTAAGGTGAAATATTCTTTTAGTATCTTATACATCTCCCATGTTTCCACAGCCATGTTGATCTTTAAGGGGCCCTATTCTCTCCCTAGTTACTTTTTTTGCCCTTAATGTATTTATGGAATCTCTTTGGATTCTCCCGAACTCAATTTGCCAAAGCTATCTCATGTATCATTTTTGCCCTCCTGATTTCCCTCTTAAGTATAGTTCTACTGCCCTTATACTTCTGTAGGTCTCCACTCCATCCCAGCTGTCTCTACCTGATATCTGCCTCCTTCTTTTTCTTGACCAGAGCCTTAGATCTTCCAAAGTGTGGTTGAGTTAACATTTTTCCAAAATGACAGGTTATTAAGCATTGTGTTGTTGCTTTCCTTTGCTGGTGATGTTATCTGTTCCACTCAGATTCTCTGTAACTGGCTTGTTCAGGCATTTAGTCTAATTTTTTGCTCCACCCTGGATACACTTGCACTTGTAAGAGAACTTCCCTACATCTGCTTGGGAAAGATTACCACAGATGAAAGGATAAGGAATCTGCATATAATGTGACAGAGGCATTATTTTCCTAGAAAGAGAATCTGAATGAATGTTGAGCACCCTCTTACACACTTTAACGTTTTGAAAAATATTTCCGTTCAATTGATAATTTGAGGAACATGTGTCAGAAGAATTTAACCTCCTTTAGTGCCAATCTGCTAATGACCAGGTAATTAATCTGCCTAACAAGAATCAAACTATCTCCTCCTTAAAAATATTCAATTACCCCCAACTCCACCGTCTTCTGAGGCAGAGTTCCAAAGCTGCACAACCCTTTGACAGAAAAGAACATCTCATCTCTGTCCTAAAAGATCGGCTCTTAATTTTTAAACAGTGCCCCCGCCCCTAGTTCTGGTCTGAACCATAAGAGGAAACGTTCTTTCCACATCTACACTGTCAAGACCATTTAGGATCTTATACACTTCAATCAAGTCACCCCGTTAATCTTCAGTGGAAATAAAACCGGTCTGTCCGATCTTTCCTAGAAAAATAACACATTAATTCCAGGTATCAATCTTGTAAACCCTCTTCGAACTGCCTGCAATGTATTTACATCCTTCCTTAAATAAGGTAACCAAAACCGTAGTCAGCATTGCAGATGTGGCCTCATCATAACATAATGTCCTTACTTTAATGTTCAATTCCTCCTGGAATAAAGAATAGCTTTAGAACATAGAACATAGAACATAGAACATTGCAGCGCAGTACAGGCCCTTCGGCCCTCGATGTTGCGCCGACCTGTGAAACCAATCTGAAGCCCATCTAACCTACACTATTCCATTATCATCCATATGTTTATCCAATGACCATTTAAATGCCCTTAAAGTTGGCAAGTCTACTACTTTTGCAGGCAAGGCATTCCACGCCCTTACTACTCTCTGAGTAAAGAACCTACCTCTGACATCTGTCCTATATCTATCACCCCTCAATTTAAAGCTATGTCCCCTCGTGCTAGCCATCACCATCCGAGGAAAAAGGCTTTCACTGTCCACCCTATCTAATCCTCTGATCATCTTGTATGTCTCTATTAAGTCACCTCTTAACCTTCTTCTCTCTAATGAAAACAGCCTCAAGTCCCTCAGCCTTTCCTCATAAGACCTTCCCTTCATACCAGGCAACATCCTGGTAAATCTCCTCTGCACCCTTTCCAATGCATCCACATCCTTCCTATAATGCGGTGACCAGAACTGTATGCAATACTCCAAGTGCGGCCGCACCAGAGTTTTGTACAGCTGCAACATGATCTCATGGCTCCGAAACTCAATCCCTCTACCAATAAAACCTAACATACCATACGCCTTCTTAACAACCCTATCAACCTGGGTGGCAACTTTCAGTGATCTATGCACATGGACACCGAGATCTCTCTGCTCATCCACACTACCAAGAATCTTACCATTAGCCCAGTACTCTGTATTCCTGTTACTCCTTCCAAAGTGAATCACCTCACACTTTTCCACATTAAACTCCATTTGCCACCTCTCAGCCCAGCTCTGCAGCTTATCTATGTCCCTCTGTAACCTGCAACATCCTTTCACACTATCCACAACTCCACCGACTTTGGTGTCATCCGCAAATTTACTAACCCATCCTTCTACGCCCTCATCCAGGTCATTTATAAAAATGACAAACAGCAGTGGCCCCAAAACAGATCCTTGAGGTACACCACTAGTAACTGAACTCCAGGATAAACATTTCCCATCAACCACCACCCTCTGTCTTCTTACAGCTAGCCAATTTCTGATCCAAACCGCTAAATCACCCTCAATCCCATGCCTCCGTATTTTCTGCAATAGCCTACCATGGGGAACCTTATCAAACGCTTTACTGAAATCCATATACACCACATCAACCAATTTACCCTCATCCACCTGTTTGGTCACCTTCTCAAAGAACTCAATAAGGTTTGTGAGGCACGACCTACCCTTCACAAAACCATGTTGACTATCCCTAATCAAATTATTCCTTTCTAGATGATTATAAATCCTATCTCTTATAATCCTTTCCAACACTTTACCCACAACCAAAGTAAGGCTCACTGGTCTATAATTACCAGGGTTGTCTCTACTCCCCTTCTTGAACAAGGGGACAACATTTGCTAGTCTGCAGTCTTCTGGCACTATTCCTGTAGACAATGACGACATAAAGATCAAAGCCAAAGGCTCTGCAATCTCCTTTCTAGCTTCCCAGAGAATCCTAGGATAAATCCCATCTGGCCCAGGGGACTTATCTATTTTCACACTTTCCAGAATTGCTAACACCTCCTCCTTATGAACCTCAATCCCATCTAGTCTAATAGCCTGTATCTCAGTATTCTCCTCGACAACATTGTCTTTTTCCTGTGTGAATACTGACGAAAAATACTCATTTGCTGCCTCTCCTATCTCTTCGGACTCCACGCACAACTTCCCACTACTGTCCTTGACTGGCCCTAATCTTACTGTAGTCATTCTTTTATTCCTGACATACCTATAGAAAGCTTTAGGGTTTTCCTTGATCCTACTTGCCTTCCATTAACATGCTCAATTACTTGCTGAACTTGTATACTTGCATTTAGTGAATCACTAGAATGCCTTGTTCTCTTTGCAACTTGGAAGTCTGTAGTTGTTCTCCATTTACTCTGCCTTGTTTTATCCTGCCAAAGTAAACAACTTTACATTTTTCCACTTTATACTCCATCCGCCTAATTTTTGCCAACTCACTCGATCTATTCGTTTGTCTGCAACCTCTTTATATCCTCTTTACAACACGTTCTTACCTATCTTTGTGTCATCTGAAAATGAAACCATACTACCACAACTTCATTCCCCTTATTTAATCAATGGCTTAAATTGTAATAAAGTACTGAGCTCCCAACACAAATCCTATGAGTCTCCACTTCTCAGAAAAAAGACAAATTGATGCATATTTATTTGCTGGCCAGCCAATCTTCCATCTATTGTAATATGTTATCATTACACCATGAGGTCATAGTTTTGCACAATATGCTTTCATATAGCACCTTGTCAAAATGCCTTCTGGAAATCCAAGTACATTATGTTTCAAAGTCTTTCTTTATCCACAGGACATGTTACTCCTTCAAAGAACTCCAATCAATTGGTTGAATATGATTTCCCCTTTGTAAAAACAATGCTGTCTTTTCCTGGCCACCTTGAGAGTTTCAAAGTCCACAGCTGTAATCTCCTTCATGACTAATTCTAACACCTTTCCCATGATAGACATCAAGCATTGTGTTGTTGATTTCCTTTGTTCCTATAGTTTCCTATTTTCTGATTTAATCCCTTCTTAAATACAAGAGTTATCTTTGCTACTTTCTGGTCTAACGGAACCTTTCCAGAATCTAGGGAGTTTTGGAAAATTAATACCAATGCAACTGTTAACTCATTTGCCAACTCTTTTAATACGCAAGGATGAGGTCCATCAAGGTCCAAGGACTTGATAGCCCCTAGCTCCACCAATTTTTCTTTGTGGCTCTTCTCAAATGATTTCACTAAGTTACTCTCCTCCTGCCACTTCTTGATGTATAACTGTTAGTGCAATTTTTAGTATCATCTATAGTGAAGGCAGAAGCAAAATATTTCCTCATTTCATCCACCATTTCTTTATTATGTACTATTAACTCCCCATTCTCGCTCTCTAGAGGATCAAGTTCTCCGTACTTACTCTTTTCCTTTTCAAATAGCTGTAGAAATTCTTGCTGTCTATTTGCGCATTTCTAGCTAGCTTTCTCATATGCCATAATGTTTTTTCTTCTCATAGAGTCATTGAGACATACAACATGGAAATAGACCCCTCGGTCCAACTCATCCATGCTGACCAGACATCCTTATCCGTCCTATTCCCATTTGCCAGCATTTGGCCCATACCCCTCTAAACACTCCTTATTCATATACCCATCCAGGTGTCTTTTAAAAGTTGTAATTGTACAGCCTCCACTATTTCCTCTGGCAGCTCATTCCATACACACACCACCCACTGTGTGAAAATGTTACTCCTCAAGTCCTTTTTAAATCTTTCCCTTCTCATCTTAAAACTATGCCCTCTAGTTTTGGACTCCTCAAGCAAGGGAAAGCAAGGGACCTTATCCAAGTCCCTCATGATTTTATAAACGTCTATAAGATCACCCCTCAGCTTCTGACACTCCAGGGAAAAAGAGCCCCAGCCTATTAAATCTCTCCCTATAGCTCAAACCCTCCAACTACGGCAATATCCTTGTAAATCTTTTCTGTACCCTCTCAAATTTAACAACATTCTTCCTACAGAAGGGTGACCAGAACTGTACCACAGTACTCTAAAAGCAGCCTCATTAATGTCCTATACAGCCACAACATGGCATACCAGTTCCTATTCTTAATGTTATGACTAATGAAGATAAGCATGCCAAATGCCTTCTTCACCAATGTGTCTGTTTGCGACTTCACCTTCAAGGAACTATGAACTTGCTTCCCTAGGTCTCTTTGTTCGGCAACGCACCTCAGGTCCTACCATTAATTGTATAAGCCCTGCCCTGGTTTGCCTTACCAAATGCAACTCATCATATTTATTCAAATTAAACTCCATCTGCCACTCCTCGGCTCATTGGTCTATCTGATCAAGGTCCCATTGTAGTCTGAGATAATCTTTTTCGTTGTCCACTATGCCTATTTTCGTGTCATCTGCAAACTTACTAACCATTCCTCCCACATTCACAACCAGATCATTGATATAAATGATGAAAAGCAGTGGACCCAACACTGATCCTGGTGGCACATCTCTGGTCACAGGCCTCCAGTCCGAAAAATAACCCTCCACTCCCACC